GATTGCGAGATCTGACTGATGTCTGGATCTTTCATTTCACTTTAATCACTAAGAATTTCATCCGATTGCCTTAACTATATCAACTATTTTTCTGTTTGATTGATTATTAGTTCAAGCATATGCCTACCTTCAGAATATTGTGAGTAATTTTTTCACCACTTTCTTGCTCACAGGTTCGATGAGAAATAACCTGAAGGTCGCTGGTTCGAACCCACTGCACTTTAGATTTTTTATTTTACCTTCAGTCATCACCAAGTATCAGTTGTCTCAGTGTATGAAAACCACGGTTATTTTAGATAATTAAGGTGATGTAAATTAGTGTTATATCTTGATTTCACCATTCTCATACCATTCGTACTCAAACTGGCATAATGCAATAGGTTTGGAAGTGACTTGATACATGTCAAGCATCTGACAATTATTTTATTCTATGCAATTTCATTGACACTAATCTACCTTTCTTAACTTATCAGCTTATAATGAACGTAATTGTTGTTTATTCACTCTACTATCATTAATCATATGTAACGGTCATATTTTGTATAATATGAAAATACTTCAGTTTTCTATGTCAAAATAGATAGAGTATAGAACCAGGAATCCGTTGGTTATTGACTTGTTGCCTAAAGTTTCATTTCACCTTTATCCAGTATGAAAATAAGCTTTTCCAATCAAATTACTGGATGAGATTATGACCTTCTGTACTGGTTGACTGAATTGCCATCAATCGAAATTAAACTCGGTTTTGTGTTATACTTCTCAAAACGAGAACAGATACTAATTTAACACCATCTGCCCATTTCACACTTATGCTTATAATACGTTAAAGCGCCTGGCCCCTTTGGTAAATTTAAATGTCATAATGAGAAGATGAATATTATATGAGACATGTCGTAATGTATTAGCGCTATACACATCTCGGACAATCTGATCACACATTATTATTATTACTTGTCCCTTGGGTTTCTAGTGGAACCTATGACTTCAGTAGCATGCCGCCATTCCACTCTCTTCTCTGCAGTCTTTTCAACCTGGCCCCACCACTGTCCACAAGCTTTCAATTCTCCCTCACATGATCTCCTCCATGTCACCGTCAACTGGGATGCCCAACTTGTCCTTTCTCCTTCAGCTTCCACTGAAGGGCCTGAGGTGTGATGTCCCGGATCGATCTTCTCAGTGTATGCCCAATCTAATCCATCTACACTTTCCTCTACTGCATATTTATCGCCCATAGGTTGTTGGTTAGTTTGTTCCCAGAATTCCTTATTGTTTATTATTTCTGGTCATTTGATATTCAGTACCGATGGTAGGCAGCTGGTGATGAATATCTGTAGTTTATTGGAAATGCCTTTCGTAACGTGCCAAGTTTCTCAATCACATACATGAACTTGTCAAACTATTCATCATATGAAAATTTACGAAAACGGTCAGTGAAATAGTCAATAGGAAACATAGAGGAATAGGAAGGGTAGAGAAAAAACACAAACAAAATCTTAATCATGTTACTCTTAGTATGAAAATTGAAATCAATACTACGAAGGTAGGTATGTTGAACATGAGTACAAATTGTTTTTGTTATATGAATGACAAGAGTTTCAATAAATTTAAGCACTTGCTGTGACCACTTTTATGTAGTACTTTGAAGGTTGTTTTCATGCTTTCCATCCTATGGTTAGTTTCTAGTATATGAAGATGGATATTTGTCACCTGTACTTATCGGACTGTTGAGGTCATTTGTTTCTGAAGCATTCGGTATATATTCAACTTTCCTTCTCAACTGAATATCCTCCGTATGTATGTGTGTACACATATACATGTAAATTGATAAACACAGTGGGATGTGGGATATAATCGTTTATATATTGTTTTGGTTTGTGCTGTAACATGGACTTTGTCTTCTCTATAGTTGATAACCTTGGTTGCATAATATGTTTTACAGATGGCTGATTTAAGTCTTTTCTTCACAACAAAGCTATGTGAATCAATCACCACTAAATGGTAATGAGATTGTAGACAGTTTGCTTAGTAGTGGAATACTGAACACTTTTCAATGATACATAACTTTTACACCTGTCGATAAATTTTAACGGGTAGTCATCCTGTATCAGCGTTATCGTCTATCATTTAAAACATATACTAGAAACTAACCATAGGATGGAAAGCATGAAAACAACCTTCAAAGTACTACATAAAAGTGGTCACAACCAAGTGCTTAAATTTATTGAAACTCTTGTCATTCATATAACAAAAACAATTTGTATTCATGTTCAACATACCTACCTTCGTAGTATTGATTTCAACTTTCATACTAAGAGTAACATGATTAAGATTTTGTTTGTGTTTTTTCTCTACCCTTCCTATTCCTCTATGTTTCCTATTGACGATTTCACTGACCGTTTTCGTAAATTTTCATATGATGAATAGTTTGATCAGGCCATTTGTGTGATCAGATTGTTCGAAATGTGTATAGGGTTAATACATCACGACATATTTCAGATAATCCTCATCTTCTCATTATGATGGTTAAATTTATCAAAGGGACCAGACACTTTAAACCTTTAAGATAATTATAAAATGACAGAATCGCTTGATTGGCAGAAAAGATTTTCATGTTGACCAACTCACGTCTTACTCTGGTGTCTGCCTTCATCCCTTTTCGATATGAACTTCTCAAAGGTAAACAATGCATAACTCCAGACTTACACAGTACACAATGTAATATCTTCATAAATCAGTAGAGAAAATTATTGAAAACTTTGCCAAGTTATTTTATACAACCTTTAAAATACAGTGATTGGTCACTAGAGAAAGAATAATTTCGTGTTATCTAGTTTGAAGTGGTGACTGAACATTATCTATCATTTTGTAATGTAGTGGTAACCAGGCTAGAAGATTCAGTGCATTTTGACTGTTATCAGATAGTTGGAGGGAACTGGGAACTGTGATTATCTTCGAAAATTTTGTTTAGATAACCTCTTGTTTCTGCCTAACCCAAAGTTGAAGTATAAGAAGAGATAGTTTTACTTGGCTTACGCCAACATCAAACCAACGGTGGACATAAATACATCATATTTTTAAAAACCATCATTCAAGAGGATCGGTGGAGGACTGTCACTCTGTTGGAGTACCTACTTCGACTATGATACTACCGCATTAGCATGGAAATGCCAGTGTCCATGCTTTAATGGGCACAGGGAACAGATGGCAGTGAAGCTCGTGTGGTAGACTGGAAGACAATAACATATCGCTTATTTTTAGAGAAGAGTTAGCGAAGCATTTGTCTGGACGTGACAACAATTTTCCTACTGATGAAGCTGTAGCAACAACGGTAAAGCTTAGAAAGGTATACCCGAGAAATAGCGAAGGCCAGTGAATTTCGGCAACCTTATCCGAACCGATTACTGTAAGAAAACTCATCCCAACCTGTTCTGGCTACAATGAGGAGCAAAAGCGGTTGAAACTTAGATTAACTAACAGTCTTTCCAATAACCACTACAATTAATAAGTGGCTAAAGAGAAAAAGGAAGTAAAAGGCACCAGAATTAGGCAATGCTCGGTAATGATCTCTGCTTATCAAGGATACTGGCTACAAGACGATGATGATTAGAAAAACCATCGCCGAAAGGGATGAATCCCTGATAAATTCTCAGACCAAGTGGCTAAAATGTGTATCGGAACACTGTGAAGAACAATTCAGCCAGCCTAAAACTACGCGTCAGTTAACCAGTATCCAACCCGAACACAAGTTAGTCAATATTAACATGTGTTTTCCATCACTCTATAACGGTCTAAGTTGCTACACATCAAGGGAGAATGCACTAAAATGAACGATAGAAAAATAAGGAATAAAGTAGTCAAAAGCTGTAGAAAGTTATGACAGGAGAACAAGAAGTTCGATTCGACATGATAATTAATGTTAAGATAATGTGTAGACACATCTGCGGTAGACATCGACTATGAACAATATCACCTAGTCTCTAATCACTGGTTTGTGTTGTCACGTGGACTGAAACCGGCTAGTCTACACTTCCTTACAAAACTTAAACTAAGTCATAGACTTCAATGACTGATGCTATGTCTTAGTCTCGTCACCCCTCACTTTTTTTCCAGCTTGGACCTACTTCACTTACATTCCTCGACGAGAGAGACGATGACTAGGCATACGTAACACATGACCCTGTGGACACCACGTCAACTAATGTTTCTTTTTACGTCTGAATATCATGATGATTATAAATAGAGGGTTGTATGAGGACAAATACAGTGGATGATCCCCGTTAGTCGGTTCGAATATGATTCTGAAAGTGCTAACTAATCGCCTTTTTGCTTGTCTTAGCCTTTACCCACTAGTGCACTGAAATCAACTGCTATGACAATCACATCTGAGTGTTTCGCTTTCAGTGAAGGTTAGACAGTTTTTTGGATGGAAGCCATCTCCATTTTATATAAACTGCAGTCAGTGGATGCATAATCAGAGATAAGAAAAAAGAGACTACATACAGGTTAGAAGATTCAGTGCACTTTGACTGTTATCAGATAGTTAGAGGGAACTGGGAACTATGATTATCCTCGAAAATTTCTGCTTAGATAACCTCTTGTTTCTGCCTAACCCAAAGTTGAAGTATAAGAAGAGACAGTTTTACTTGGCTTACGTCAGCATCAAACCAATGGTGAACATAACTAGATCATATTTCTAATAGTGTATAGTACTATTATTATTATTATTATTATTATTATTATTATTATTATTATTATTATTATTATACATCTGTGGGTCATCATATCTTGAGATATCAACGATCCATAAGTTTCTTTTAGCCTTGTGGTGTACACTTTTATGATAGGGGTTATGTTAACAAGTTGAACATATGATGAAAGCAGGATTTCTTACGAAACACCTTAAATTATCTAATAGGAATTTATTGGATAATTGATAAATGTTTTTCTTCTTTTATATTCTGAATCTTTTGATCTGTTTACACACACACACACATATTTAGGTGGTCAACAGAAGTTATCATCACATTTATCGTATATTGATCAACAAACTGGTATATATGGAGCAAGACAAAGTTTATTGTTCGTATTAATTTTATTATTTCGTCTACAAACTAAATTGGCGATTGATTTTCTATCAACTATACCAGATCTAACTGGCAAGCCTATACTACAAGAGATATTATCTTTATGGTGTAATTGTCAACCGTATTATTTCTCTAATTATGAAATTCAAGTGAGGTAAGTTATAGTCTGTAAAGTAATTGATTACTCATCGGTATATGTTGCGGAGCGGGGCGGAGGGGGCCTTTTTCTAATTCATGTTTATTGCCTTTTGTTTCTTCTTTCCCCTGAATTTCAGTGAGCTGGCTATTGTACTGGTCTTCAGTGGTACCGCGGTTAACAATAGAGAGTGAAGTGGTTGAGTGTGTTGACCACTTCACTTACCTGGAAGTAGGATCAACCCTGGTGGGTTAGTTGCCGGTGAGATTTCGGCACGGATACAAAAGGCTCGATTGGCTTTTGCCAATTTGCGCCACCTATGGCGCCGCCGTGATATTCGTTTGTCTATTAAGGGTCGCGTGTACTGCACAGCAGTCCCCTCTGTTCTACTGTATGGCTGTGAAACATGGCCACTGAAAGTGGAGGATACAAAAGGCTTCAGGTGTTTGACCACCATTGCCTTCGTATATAGGACGTATTCCGTGGTGTCACCACATGAGTGATGCAGAAGTCACGTGTAGAGTTTTGGGGAGAAGAGGTAAGTCAGTTGGCGAGGTTGTGAACCTTCATCGACTGAGATGGTTGGGACACGTACTACGTATGCCTAGTCACCAATTGCCTCATCACACAATGTTGGCTGAGGTGGGTCCAGGCTGAAAAAAGGCAGAAAGAGGTGGCCAGACTAAAACATGGCACCAATGTATGAAGTCTGTGACTGTTGGTTTAAGCCATGTGGGGCAGTGCAGACTATGTGGTTGGGGTGTGCGGGACAAGAGGAACCAGTGGTTGGAGACCCTAGGTGATATGGCTGAGAACCGATGTCAGTGGCGCAGATGTATACATACATTATCCTCATCTTAACAACGCTATACCGAATCTCACCATTTTGTCACTCCTCTTTCCTTTCTTCTCGTACTTTATATTTCTTTTGACTGCATTACTTATCTTCGTCCTTCACCTCACTACCTTTTTACTTGATGTGCTGATATGAGGTGTGGCAAGTGGGACCGTTACGCAGTAATGCCTGGTCCTATGTTGATAATGATGATGATGATGATGTAATGAGTTTGTTATCATGATGATATCGGTGATAATTCTCTTCTTTTCTCTTTTTTTTTTCTTTCAATGTTCAATATTCGTTTGATCAATCCTATTTTCATTCGATATATAGTTGAGAAGTCATTGTCATTGATCTAAGAATTTTCTAAGTCAATGTTTTCCAGATAAATTCAATGAATTCCAGCGAAATGTTAACATCGACTGGATATAGCTTAACCTTTAAACGGTTAATTAGATGGATCGACTTATGAATTCTTACAAATCATGCTGTTTACATTGAGTAGTTTTTTCAACTGTCTAACTATATAGCGTTGATAGTTTGGAGAGAGTCCTACTTTCATTCCACCTGCTTTCATAGCACTTCTATGCTATACCTTCTCATCTCTTTTGCAATATTGGCAGCCTTGCTAGCCGGCTTCAAACATTGTGCGAACATTCTATGTCCTCATGTTCACTTTCACTTTCATCGAGAGAAGATACATTGGCCAATTGGCTTTTTGAAGGCTTTCGCCAACCAGCGTCATTTCGTCTCCCCGATTCCAACAAGGAATAAGTTTGTTTTTATTTTGTGCTTTGAAGTTTATTTAGTGATTGGATTGTTTTTACGGGGTAGGGTTGCTAGCCCTAACTATACCCAACCTTCCTTCTTTATCCCGGCTTAGGACCGGCTAGTAACTAGTGTACTACTTAACCAGGCGAGGAGGAGGAGATCGTGTGAACAAGAAATGAGAGCTTCTGAGCAATGGTGGAGCGAGGTTCAAAAGATTGCAGAGAAGAAAGTGGAATGGAGACGTGCTACTGAAGGCGTATGTTCCACTAGGGACCCAAGGTACAAATAATAATAAACTATGGTGTTAACAGGGTTTCCGTTAAAAACTATTCCCGTGAACCAACATCACAAGGTGGGATTGCTGACACTAAAGTGTCATGAACTGGCGAAACATACTACTACCGAACATCTTGAGTAGTTAGAAACCTTTTAGGCTGTTTCACTCGTTTTCAGTCGAACTCATCACTGGTGTATCCGGAAATATTCCCGTACACAGGGCTGAATCTTGTTACCTGACTTACATATACCAACTGGTATACCTAAAATAAGATGATAAATTTGAAAATGACATTTCTCACAGCTGAGTAGTTTTTCAACTGCATGCGTCGGTCGGAACAATTTGATTGTGTTACCTTAATGCATCCGAGTACACCATTCGTGTCAGCTCCACCCTAAACCAACGAATCGGTTGTTCAGTATTTGAATCAGTTTGATTTAGCTTGCATAACCTAACTGATCAATGCAACCGGTTTCTAACTTTATGTTCATGACACTTTTGTATCGTAGATTAATACCACCTTATGATCTTAACTGATAAGGGGGAAATCGTGTTGAGATCATAACTAGGCAGTTAACAAACTGCTCAGTTGTGAGAAATCTGGATATGAACCGTGATATTTGTAAATTGTTCATCGTATTCCTCTGTCATTTTTATGTACGTGACGAATACGAATAATGACTGTTCTCTTTCACTACCTTATACTTCACTAAGCTGCAAAAATTAGAAGGTAAAGACCAGCCTTTGACTGTTAAGAGGACACTTTATTCGACGAACACACTTCATTTATATACAACACTTCTCATGAATATATCAAATCACTAGGTCAAAAGTTGAATAGATTATTTTGATTGGTTAATTGTAGGACAAAACTGTCCAATAAAGTTTTTCTTGACCACACAGTGAAATGAAACAGAAATTGAAATCCCAAACTTCTATCTTGGTGGCTAATGACTGAAAATGTTAATTTTCAATTAGGCCAGTTACTCAGTTTGATTTCATTTAGGATGTCTTTGTATAATCTTTTGAGATAGATTAACTGCTCTTCTGTTAATTTAATTCTTCTGGTCAAATATATTTTCTTGATTGTCTCTTGTTCTTCCTCCTCCTCTCTTGGTTATGTGTTTAGCACAATGGCATTAGCTAACTTAATTCTGCATACTATCAATAATAAAGATGAACGTGTTATGCAGATAACAATTCAAGAAGAGTTAAATACCAGTAATGACCTAAGCGGCAAGGATGACAATGTTATTCAGACTAGAGCGAAATCTAGTAAGTTTATGTTGTTTCCATTCCTGTTATTCTTGTGCTGAACCCTACCTACCTACCTACCTACCTACCTACCTACCTACCTACCTACCTACCTACCTACCTACCTACCTACCTACCTACCTACCTACCTACCTACCTACCTACCTACCTACCTACCTACCTACCTACCTACCTACCTACCTACCTACCTACCTACCTACCTACCTACCTACCTACACACCTACACACCTACACACCTACACACCTACACACCTACACACCTACACACCTACACACCTACACACCTACACACCTACACACCTACCTAACTACCTACCTACCTACACACCTACCTACCTACCACCCCACACCTACCTACCTACCTACCTACCTACCTATGTCTATTTTGTTTCTTTAAGTGTCGGAAAGAGAAGATTTGTGTGAGCATGGAGACTATTGGGACATCTGCTTCAGGCCTGTCACACAGCCTTTGGCTGATTGTTCTTTTAAGATTTGGTTGCTTTAACGCTGGATAGATTAAACCTATACCGCCTCTACCAGAAGATTATGGGGCTAATTTGTAGTTGACCTTTTCTAAACCCTCCTTCCAACAAGGAAGGCAATATCAGCGTGGTACTGCTGATCACTTAATGGAAATTTCTGTCACACCCCAACTAGCCGATAGTATGACTTCGTTCTCAGACTCCCATCATAGCATAGCATAGTGCCTATCGTCTAACCACCACCCGAAAAACCTCATGGTATAGTGGGATCTTTTTGGAATCAGTGTGCCAGCCACTGTAACTGATTAGGTCATTGTGATATACAAGCCCGACCACCACATTAGTGTAGTAATTATCGATCGGGTGAATATATGAAACGCTTCACGTATTTATGTGTCATCCTTGTGTAGATAGTATGCTAATCTTTTGTGTATCGTTTCAATTTTTGTATCTAAACCCTTGCTATACAGGGCCGTATCATAACAATAAGTGATATCCATTTCACAAGAGATGACTGTTATGCCCCGATGGCTTATTGAATAAGGCTCTGGTGTTTGAAGCGATGGATACTGAGTTCTATCCACAGTTGGAACAACATTACTCATTGAGGTGAAGGTACATCCAGCTGACGAGTCCCAAATAGGACGAAGCGTGCATCTTAGATTTCTCCACTAGTCACCAAGATCAATATAACGAGTACGAATCAAGTTAAATGACTAGACTATGTTTCTGTACTGGATTGAAATTGACTAATTTACGCTCATCTCATGAACACAACTTCAACTTAAAACATATTAGAAATATTTTTTGTAGATCTCAGTATATTTAATTTATAAAAGTTTAAATTTATCTTTTTTTCGCGCCAGTTATCTGTATCATTTGTTTTTATCACTTTCAATGATTCCATTTTGAAAGAGGTTTTAGTCGAAAGTTTATTTAAATCACTTCCATACTTTATTACCATATGAAAATGTAATTGTTAACCCCTTTCTGTGTGTGTGTGAATAACACAATTGTGAAGTTTATCAGATCAATGAATTGTTTATTTACTTAAGGTGGATACAACAAGTTATCATGTTACTACTACAAACTGTGATTAGTTAGTAGTAGTAGTAGTAGTAGTAGTAGTAGTAGTAGTAGTAGTATATATATATATATATATATATATATATATATATATGTATAAAGCGTCAACTTTATCGATTTCCAAAAGGCCTCCGATAACGTCGACCGAGAAGTAATTTGGCAAGTAGCTACTGCAACACTACGGTTTTAGTGCCACAAACCTTCGTCGACCTCATTCAACAGCTATCTGATACATGATGCGATATGTCAAGTGATTCATAATGCAAAGCTCACTGATACCTTTGAAGTGAAGATAGGAGACAGGAGTTAGACAAGGTTGCCTGCTATGATCATCAATGATCTTCTTGATTGTGGTCAACTCGACTAGAGTCAACTGGATCATGCAAGAAACTGTGAGAAGCGAGAAGATGGACATACGCTGGGTGAACCGATGAAAGACGTTAATGACGATTTATGTCTAATGTCTTGTCGCAAAACTGAAAGAATTACAGTCGAAAACTAACAAGTTGGCAGAGGAGGCAGCGCAGGAAGACGGGACTTCTTTCAGGTGAATATAGAGAAGACAGAGATGATGAAAACACCCAACCAAAAACAACAACAAACAACAATGATCATCAACTGGAGAAACCTAAAGGAAGTTGTCTGTTTCACCTACCTACCTACCTAGGTAGTATCGTCTCAACTACAGGCCACTGCACAGGTATACATTAAAATTTAAAGCCACGAACGGAAAGACAGCAAGACAGGCCTTTCTTTCGTTAATTTGAAATAATCAGAGAGAAGATGTACTGCACTCAGCATAATGCGTGAACAACATCCGGATTTTCAATATTAATGTCAGTTAAGTAAGGCCAGATGGCCAGAATACTAAGAATAAATAAGCAAGGAGGAACTCTGACTGGCTGACAATGAACCAACCAACCAATAACCTGTTGCCTAATAAATATGCAGTAGAATAAAGTGGCGATAAATTGGATTGAACGTAGACTGAGAATACGGTTTGAAGATATCATGCATCACGCCACGCCGGGCCAGACCGTCGAGTGGAATCCAAATGGGAAAGGACGAGTTGAGCGTGTGAGCTGAAGGTGATATAGAGGAGATGGTATGATGAAGAAATGAAAACAGTTTCTTGAAAGTAGTGAAACCAGGTTGAAGGGACTGTAGAGAGGATAGTGAAATGGTGTCGTGCTACTGAAGTCCCTATGTTCCACTAGGAAGCCAAAGGAAAAATAATATAATAAAATATGTTTTCTTCAGAGAGTTTGATGGGTGTATGAAATCAAATGACACTTTGTATAATACCATTAACATCTTTTTCAGAACTTCAAGAATATCTGGTGTTTTTTTTGCTTCTGTCTTTACCTCTTTGAGTTTTACTTTCAAGTACTGATTATTGATTATGGATAATGTGATTAGAAGATGTAGATTATCTGAAAAATGTGATGTATTAGCGCTATACATTTCGAACAATCTGATCACACATTTACTTGTTAAGGCATATTATATATGAAAACTGGAAGTGGGGGAAGGACACATATGACATAAAGGAATTCAATAATAAGAAAGATAATGAGAGGAATAAAAGATAAGACTTGAAGACAATCTTGGTAATACGATAAAATAAGCATTACCAAGGTAGGCTTAATGTAAAGACAAACTGTTTTTGCACACACAATGGGGGGTTAAATTTATTTATGGCTAGCGCCTCAACAAACTTAAGTATACACCCCTGACAGTTTCGGTACAAAATTGTAAAGGCTGTCTTGATATCAATTCTGTGACTCTTATCAATGATATGTTTCGCAATGGATGATGATGGTTGTCTGCCATCTGCGCTTATCAATGTTTGTGAATCCAGCTGCTTTCGTAGCCACTTTGGAACATGTTCCCCTACCCTCAAGTGCATATCACGATTCGTCCTCCCTATGTATGTTTGTCCACACACACATGTAAATTTATAAACGCAATGGGATGTGACACAATCGTTTATACAGCGTTGAGGTCTAGGTAGCAGCAGATGTTTGGTCTTCTCAACTATGATAAGCTTAGCTGCATAGTACGTTTTGCTAACAGCAGACCTTAACCTTCGTTTTAATATTATGCTATTAGCTTCTCCTCTGTATGGTAACGCGATGTAAACGCATTTCTTCGAAACAGAGCACAGATCAGGTTTGAATCCTCGCTGATTTTTGCAGCGGTTTATGAACTTCAATGGATATCCATTTTCCACTAATGTTTCCGTTAGTATTTTGATATCATCATCCATTGAGTCCTCCGTACAAATACGTTCGATCCTTTTAAATAGACAAATTACCAAACCTCGCTTGTATTGGGTTGGACAAAAGCTATGGAAACTTAAATACTGACCTGTCCAAGTAGGTTTCCCCACTTCCAGTTTTCATATATAAATTGCCTTAACAAGTAAATGTGTGATCAGATTGTTCGAAATGTATAGCGCTAATACATCACATTTTTCAGATAATCTACATCTTCTAATTACATTATCCAAATTCATAAAAGGGACTAATTGTTTCAGATTATCGATTAGTAAACAGAAAGTTCTAATGAATTTTTTTTTTGACAATTCATTACTGTTTATTTTCACATAATTTACATGAATAACATTTTTTTAAAATTTATTTATTTGGAGGTTAAACGGGTAGTTTACTGAAAAATCCATACTGAAAATCCATAAAAATCGATAATTTATTATAGGCTTAAAAGATGTTATGTTATATAATACATTTTCTCTTCATGGTTATATTCTATACATTTCATGGATTGTATATAAATTAAGCAGGATTTAACTGGCTTAATGTTGGTTCAAGACATAACAGTTGGTACTTATGACTTGAGTTCGATCTCTGGTGGAGATGGGGTTATGGATACGTCCTATACTAGAATGAAATAGGTGTTCAGTGATTCCCTAAATGATTTCAGCTTGTAACGAATACTAAGAATCAACCCTTCTTACGTGTTCGGTTGGCTTTCGCCAAATTACGTCACCTGTGGCGCCTCCCACAATATCCGATTGTCTATTAGGGTCGCGGGTATTTCACGCAAGTCCTCTCTGTTCTATTCTGCTCCATGGTTGTAAAACATGACCATCAAAGGTGGAAGATATGAGAAGGCTTCAGGTGTTTGACCATCACCGTTGCCTTCGTAGTATAGGCTGTATTCCGTGCTGTCACCATATGAGTAACATACAGGTCAGGTGTAGAGTTTTAGGGAGGGGAGGTAAATCAGTTGACGAGGTTATGAACCTTCATCTACTGAGATGGTTGGCTCCGACATGTGTGGATTGCCTCATCACACAATATTGGTCGAAGTAGGTTCAGGCTGGAAAAGAACTTGAGGTTCTCGGCTAGACTAAAACATGTCATCAATATATGAAATGTTTGACTGTTGGTTTGAGTCATGTGAGTCGAT